ATTATTATTATTATTTATATAATACTAGCACTTCGACTTTCATCTGTTCCTTATTTCATTGGAAGAATAGAATTAATCTGTGATTCCTAGTAATTGTGAATGATCCTTCTTCCAACATTTAATATTTCCTTCTCGGATCAGTAAAATAAGCATTTATGTTATCTTTCTAAGCTTGTGATCAGCATACAGACTCAGTACTGAGGATGGTCTGTGGAAAAACACCATTCCCGCATGCAGTGCTCATCAGTTTCCTTCCTGAAAAAGAAGTGAGGGGGAATCATCTCAGTTACAGCAGTCTTAATGATTGAAAAGGTCATCTAAACAAGAATGAAACTACTAGCCTAGTTCTGGTAACTGGTAGTTTTGTAAATCAGCATTTGGGCTGAAACTTCTTTGAGTTTTGGCTTCTTCCTCAACTATATGCATTTTAGAAGACTTTAAACTATTTACACAAATGAAGCAAGGATCAAGTGAATCACCTTTTTGTTGAAAACTTTGAAGAGCACTAATTCTCTCACTTCTTCTAAAACAAGGATTTAACATTTTGCAGGGCATTAGGCTTTTTGGTTTGTGTTGTAGGCAGTTTTTAATGGTGATCCCTCTGATGGGATTACCATAAGTAAAGTTATTTAAGTTCTCTCAACTTCAGAGACAGCAGTTTGAGCTACCAGTTTGGTCCATTGAACTGAAACCAGGGATCACTTGACACTTGTGTCACCAAATCTGGTCTTGGATCAGACTGGGGGAAGGAGGAATTTGACTGCAAAGCTTTCTTTCGTGTGTGTTGATGGTAAAATGTAGTTTAAGCAAAGTTAGAAATATACAAGCATTGTGTAAGAGGAGATAAAGGTGGTGATAAACTGTTAAAAGGGTAATAAATGGTAGTGGCAGGAGACAAAATATGGGCTAGGATTTGACACAGAGAGAGAGATGCAGGGGGGTGGTCTACTGAAGCAGGGCATATGGCACATTGAGAGACTAGGTATAATTTGCAGTGGCAGCCTTAATTCTCTCCTTTAACTTATGGTGAGGATAAAAGACTTCACATTTATCAGGGAGGAATTATTACTCTTAAGTGTAGTAAATATAAAATCTGTTTACATGACAAATATTCTGCATCTGTAAGCTTTTCCTCAGTTGTTTGAAACTGGCTTTAACTAATATGCAAGTGAGTCTCAGTGCTGAGACTGTAGTACAGTCATGGCCATTTATACTTTCTAATGAGAAGAGCAGCTTTTAAAACTATTGATCATGGATAGAAATGCTCTGTATGGTCAGTGTAGGTGTCTTGTCTATGTTGTCTTCTCCACACAGAGTATTCAAAAACTGAAGCTACTATTTTGGACACTTATTTTACAACCTGCTATATTAAAAGACTTTTTTCAACTTATTTCACTTAACGTAGATAAGTAAGAATGCATAAACATCTGTATTAAAGGCCTAACAGGTCCAGTATGGAATTTTGCAGTGTCTTTTCCCCATTTTCAGCTGGACTCTTTGTATCAACTGACCTCCCAGAAAAAGCTGACTGTTCAGCTAAACCAGTGGAAGTTAAGTAGCTGCAGCTTGCTTTGGTGGAAAAAATGCCTACTACTGTCTCCTGCCAACAAGCAATAGGTTTCTGACTGCACCTTAAATAGTATACCCTGATTTCTTTTTAGATTCTTTAACAAATGGAGGGCTTACAAATGTCCTTAAGCTTGTTCTAGCTCTGTAAGCTTGTTTGCCCTTCACTGTAAAATCAGTTCCCATTATTGCTATGAAACCCCCTTAGAGAGCCGGGGGTGCACATGTGCACTTGATCCAAAACAAAGAGGGAAAGCAAAGTAGGAGCTTTAAGTCTTCAGTGTACAACAAACTCCATGTTTGTATTTCTTACTCTGATGGTTTTAGTTTCAAAGATCCCTGCCCATAGCAGTGGGGTTAGAACTAGATGATCTTAAAGGTCCCTTCCAACCCAAACCATTCTGTGATAAGCATTTTATAAGTATTTAGGAAAGATTAAGAAGGCTGATTTAGAAAGGGAACACGATGTGTTTCCCATTTTAGGACCCGTAGACTAATTTCCCTTTAAAGAAGTTAAATTACCTGTTGAACAGTTAGCTACTGATTGCATTATGGTTTGTTGTGTTGTTTTTTCAGTTCAGTTAAGCATTTCAACTTCTCTGGCTTTCCTCTAGTTGCCCAGAGAGGTTGTAGAATCTCTATCCTTAGGGAGTGCGAAAACATTCCCGAAGAAATAAGGTTTATCTTTCAAGTTGGATAAACTTTGAAGTTGGCCCTGCTTTTAGTAGGAGGAAGGTAGGGTGTTAGACACATTAAAGGAGGTCTTCTAGATCTCTTACAAAGGGGTTTTATGATCTAAATTAAGATTCTAATTCAGCTTTCTGATGGATTAAAAAAAGATGTGGAAAAAATGCAAGAGGGAGAAGGAACATAAAATATTGATCCTGTAGAGTAAGTTTCCAGAACAAGATGTTTATAGCTGATCCCTGGTCTCGTCAAGCCTTAAACTAAGAAAACTCATGATGAAAGTTCAACACTAGTTCAAGAGTGGGCTTATTGTTTGTTTAGCATTTCCTATGTGCAGCTACAAGTAATTCCTGCATGACTTTTGTGTTGCACAGTGTTACGTGTCTGGATTGCAGGTATCTCAACAGGTATATTTTTAAGAAATGTTGTTGAAAACTATGTTTAATTTTATGGCTAGCATTGTACTGCGTTGAGTTTTCCTAGAGAGAAAGGTAGCTATGAAGTTTGAACAGGATGTCAGTGTCTCCAATAGGGAAGATACAGGTTACCCACGCATGTTACACAGACCTGGCTAACAGATCTGCTACATTGGTACACATGCGTCAATAAACTAGTGTGCTGCTTTAGCTTTTCCATCTTTCCTGTGTTGTTTCCAGTGGATTCTTACAATACTTCAAACACACTAATGTGAAACAGGTGATTTTATCACTTTGGACATGATTTTTGTGTTTATTAGACTAGCATCAGGGATGTGGTACATTAGTTTCTGATATATTAGAAAGTGTTTGGCTAAACTTCTGATTTTGAAGTTTGGTGTTGGCTTATCAGACCTCTAAGTGGCATAGTTCAAGCTTACATGAGTTAGAGTGGACCACTATGTACACAAACTCTCTTTCATGTCTCTAACTTCCAGTAATAAACAAGAATTAAGATTATTAAACTGTTGGTTTTGCAATACCCAATTAGCTTGACTTGCTTTTTTGCACTGTCAGTATCAGTGGCTGTTGGGAATTAATCCAGTGAGAACTTGGGGGTTTTTTTTGCAGCTGAAATAAGGTTTAAAATTTCTTACTGCGTCCAGGTGGTGAAGAATAAATAAAGCCAAAGTAAATGTTGCTGAACAAATTTCTTTTTCCTATCCGTTCTCTTAAAGGCATGTAACACCAGAGAAGTTTTATGTGGAAGCCTGTGATGATGGAGCAGATGATGTGCTTGCTATTGATAGAGTCTCCACAGAAGTCACTCTTACAGGTACTCCCCTCACCAATGTTTCACAATATAGGCTTCTTCATCCTTTTCGTCTGTTTTATTCTAGGCATTCCCAGAAGATCTTCAGCACCTTAAATTGTTACTGGGAAAACTGTTTTTATCTTTAGCCGCTGTTTTAAAACAGTACTTTGTATTCCATCCTGCAAAGAACTTTGTTTGAAATGGCTTTTTGCTGTGGGGTTGATGCTGTGGGTAACCAGGGTGATAGTGCTTGCCTCTTTCTTTTTGTAAGACTGCCCATCACAACAGTAAAACCTGACTCATCCAAGCTAGTTGGGATTGGTGCTACAAGTCCCAAACGTGGGAAGTGCTGAACACTGTGCTTCTGCAGCTTTTGCTAGATTGTCCCAGTGCTGTCTTTTAATACTGAAACCTGAATTCTCATAAAGCCTCTACAAACAACAACAGTAAAAAAACCCCTCACTGTAAATTTAGTTCTGTGTTGGAAATCTGGATTCAAATGTCAGTGCAAGTAGTGTTAAGCTTGCCGATGCTCAGGTCTTCAAAATGACATTTTATTAAGAATGTGAAATTAACACACAAGTTCAATCAAAGAACTTGAATTAAATGACAACATGAAATTAAGGCAATGGGTGACTTCCTCTTCAGTGCTTCAAGAGTTTGTACCTTAGCATTACTAATATCTAAACAGACAGAAATGCTACAGTAGTACTAATATAAAAGCAGTCTCTTATTAAGTATGTTGTGTACTTCATGTAAGAGCAGTGTGCCCATCCCACCGGTAATTTTGGTGTTGTAGTATAGTATTTCAGTTTCTCCTTCAAAACTCTTTAAGATAGTCATCCCAAGTCTCTTGTGAGTCTACATCTGTTCTCATGACTCGGGTTTTATCAGATGAACCTGCAAGGTGTTTAAAGCAAAGGAAAATTCAAATGCTATCTTTCTGTGTTCTCCAAGCTCTGGGAAAAAGCTTAGCTCTGATTTGTGTGTTTTGTGTTTTATAAAAGCTCCTCTTATTTCCCTTCTGTTATTCTAGAAATGTGAATAGAGGGAAGTTTAACAGGCTAAGACTTCTAATTGATATTTGGATACCTTTCGTGTCTCGTGGTATGTTGTTTGGAATATTGTATCCATGCTGTTCTTGGTAGTTTTGCAGAGATAGACCAAAAAGTAAACTGGGTCTCTGAAATGGAAATAGACTGGGGCTCAGAAGAAGCAGTCAGAAGAGGGAGGTACAAGCATTTATGGTTTGTCCTTGATGTCTTGATGGCTTCAAAACAAAAAGCTTCTGGAAGCTGGCAGGACAATACATTATTGAGGAGTCTACTTGCTGTACTGTCATGTGAATGAGCTTGAATTTATTCAGTTGAATGACTATTTTGATTAAACATAGAAATTGGGTTAGAATGCTTCCATATCCTTCCCTCCCACCCCCGTCAGGCTTTGGAAATCTGATGTATTGCTGGTTATACTTGAGACTCTAGCAAAACTTGAAATTAGACCAAAAGCTTTGGCAAACCTACTTCAATAGTTTTCCTGTATAGGCATGAAAGAAGCAGCCTGGAATTCTGATGATGTTTTTTCTTCTGCTTTTCAGTCAAGAAAGATGTTCCCCCCTCAGCTGTTACAAGGCCTATATATGGTATTTTGGGAACAATCCGATTGGTAGCAGGTAAGGAAAAGAGAACTGTGCTCTTTAAAAATACTTAGGCAATATATATTGCTGAAGAAGCTTTAAAGACAAAAATAGTATCTCGGATACTTACCTGACGTTACAGTTTCATCAGTGTGATGGGCTTTCCTTGTGGCTGCTGGAGGATGGAGGTATCCAAATACCTGATCATGGGTGTTCATGTACCTCTTAAACCAGTAGCTGCTCTAAAGGAAGGGTTAACTGATAGCTGCTTGAGTTTTAAGGCATAGATTTCAAATGTGTGCAAAGAACATAATTTACTTTCCGTAACTGTTTTAATCTTAGCTGTAGGATTTGGTGCAGCAGTCAAATACTGAGTTGTGAAGTTTGACTTTAGATCAGTAATCTTGGTACAGAACTGAGTGACAGGGTGACAGGCTAGTAGATGCAGCAGTTCAAGTAATGGTTGTGTTCCAACTATCTTACACATACAAAGAAAATTTAACATTAACAGGAAAAGGACAGACTGGAACAATTCTAAATTTTAGGCAGTTTTTGGATAAGGTAAGAATAAGCTGTCTGCTTTTTCTAAGTGCCTCAATGGTGTTCAGATCTAAACAGTCACTGCTACAAATAAACCTGATGTGTAAAGTCTGAGCTTCCAGACTTCACGTCTGGAGATTTTATTCAGTATGCGTGCTCCTTATTACATCATTAATACTAGACTACTTTATTCTCAAACTCTAATGAAGTCTATACAAAAGATATTTTGAATAGCAATTTTTGAATTGCTATTCAAAAGATCTTTTTGATAGTAGTCTGAAAAATGAAAAGTAGTAAGGAGCATGCATACTGAATAAAAGTCTCCATACATAGAAAGGATTCAAGGTCATTCATTGCAGTATTCTCAACCAAAGCGAAGTATCATTGTGTTAAATGCAGTGAACTTCTGACAGGGTCTTAAACTACTGAACTTTATATGCTCATATTCTAAAGAATTGTGGATCTTGTAGAGTAAGACCGATACAAGGGACACCTGTGTCATAGGTACTTGACAAGATCTGACGGTTTCAAAACTGAGCTACCGCAAAGGGAAATTTTCCCAACTTGCTGGCTTGGTAACAACTGAATATTATATAAAATATGGAAGCATGCAACTTATTAATAGCCTTTTTCTTTCCATCCCCAAAGCTTTGCAGTGATTGTTTGTATACAGCTGTCAAACTAAAGATACTATCAGTTAAAGTAAATGATACTGTGTTGTTAATAAATGACATTGTGTTGTTAGGCAGTTTGTTATCGTATGTAAAACTGGTTCCATATCTAGCAGTGTAGTGTCTTTAACAAACATAAATATTCTTCAGCTATTACAATATTAAGGGGAGGGGGGAAATTGCTGAATTAATATCTGAAGCTCTGAAGTATCAAACAGAAGGTTGCATACCCAAATAGGAAGAGGCATTGAAACTTCATGTCAGATGTATCTATTTGTGCAGCATCTTGGGGCATAGCTGTGCATGGAATGTACTGGTTTTATAAGGTATCTGGATGCTTCTGACATACCAGCCAAAAGCAATACTTATAACTTGAGATGCAAACATGCCAGAGCATTTCTGAAGTGCTTAAATAGTCCAAATAAAAGGTATAACGCCAGAGAGGTAAAAGAAAAAGTAGGGGTAATACCTGTTCGTTGACTAACTATAGAGACTAGATACCTGATATAATTCACCTGTGTACAAAACTTGGTGTATATTTAGGTATAGTAGTAAATACAAATAATGGGCAAACTTACCGCATATAGTGTGAAGTGTTTCTGCTTTGGCATTTTTAATCTTTGGCATTTATACTCCTTAAATGCTTTAGTGTAAAAACTTGGTGAATCTGAGGTTCTGTGCTTCTGCATGGAAAAAAAAAACCCTTGTTGTTTTGCTCCATTGAAATTGTAAGTAAACATTTAGTGGTTGTAAGATGTAGATCATGAGACATTTTTATCCATCAGTATCCAATTTGATAAAGTATTCTTTTTCTTCAAAACCAAGCTGGCACTGAAATATGATAGGTAGAAATAAGAGTATGTTGTGTTTACCAGCAAGTGTAAATCAATTGCTTTGTGTGACCTGTCTTTATTATGGGGTTTTTTTGTTTTGTTACTTATGCAACGAGAAACTGAACTTCTTGTCAAATTATTAAAAGGAACCCCCCTTCTCTTTGCTCCATTTTGAACCTGCTAGGATAAATACTCTTTTAGGATAAGATGAATAGGGGTTTTGGGTTCCGAACCACACTTCCTTTTGTGCATTTCAGACTTGCTCAGTGCTTTCCAAACCACATTCAAGACCACTGGCGTCTTTCAGTATTTGCAAACCTAAAGACTTTCAGACTGTCTCTGGTCTGCAGCTTGAGTAGCTGACACTTCTTTTTCTTGTCCATTTTCTAATTCCTTAAACTTAATGAGTAGCTCACGATCTGTGAGCATAGAGAAGTGGGTAGCTTAGCAAGTGCGTTTTGCTTCTGTTCCAGCCCCTTACTGTTAGGAACATAAAGTTCTAGGTGTAAGTTGAAGAAACCTCACCCTTTCCTATTGGTTTCAGTTTTCTGGTTGTATTTTTATTGTTATATGATATGGTTATAGGCTTCTTTTCTTAATATGTGCATCTATTTATGTTTTTTTTTTTAACTTTGTTCTTTCTGATTTGCAGGCACATACCTTATTGTAATTACAAAAAAGAAAAAAGTAGGTGAGATTTTTGGTCATGCAATCTGGAAAGCAACAGACTTTGACATCCTCTCCTACAAAAAGACCATGCTGCACTTAACTGATATTCAGGTAGGTGGATTCATTAGGGGATTGAGGGCGAATTATCTTATGTTAATGTCCATTACCACAGGACCTAATTTGATGAAACTATGAACATTTATTTTTAGAAGCTCTTTGAACTACACTTTTTTCCTGATGTATTCAGGCTGCTATAAATGATGTAATATTTGGATATATGTGAATATAAGGCTACATCATTCAAGATAACAAGCTCACATTGTGCAACTGTGAATATCATCCCCAGAGGTTGTTCTGCATATTGTGCATTTTTTCCACCTGCTAAGATGGTACACTCTTCACTGTGCTTTTCCTGTTAAGTCTTTCTCGCAGCTTTACTTTTCTGATAGCCTCTATGGTAAGCTGCCTTGCTGTCATCTAACTATCTGTCTTGCTTAATTTATGGATTTGTTTCATTACATAATTACCCAGCAGGAAAGAATTGATTTTTCCTTTTTTTTTGAGAGGGAGGGAAAGGATGGAGGTTGTATAAAACAGATGTGTTGAGGCCTGATAAAGAGTAGATAAGGGTGTCTAACCAATGGAGCTGAAAGGGAACCTGATGCTTTTCCAGGAAAGGAATGAGGTTAATCAAAGCTTGAACCAAAACACAAATTAGTTACTGGGGTAATCCTGACAGTAAGTTGTATCCTTTGTTTTGCATTGCCATCTCATTTGGCTTTTTGACCTAATGGTTTTCAGGGAAACTAATGGCTTCCTTTTTGGTTGGAAGTTTCTAATATTAGTTTAGTATCAGTAGCTATTTACCTCACAGGAGTCATTCTCTGCTCTCCACTGTTGTTGAATTGTAATGTGCTAGGTGTAAGTTATTAGTGAACTGTTACCAAAATTGCAGTCTCATGGTTTCCTTCTGTGGTAATCTCTGGATGATGTCATGTGCTAGCGCACTAGTAAGGTTCATCTCGTCACTTTAGAAGGTAGCAGTAGCTTGTAATATTTCAATGGTAATAAATAAGAGCTCTTCTGTCCCTTTTTCTCATTCAACAGTTGCAAGACAATAAGGTATTCTTATCAATGCTCAATCATGTCTTGAGCGTGGATGGATTTTACTTCTCAACAACATATGACCTAACGCATACGCTCCAACGGTTAGCCAACACGAGCCCAGAGTTCCAGGAAATGAGCCTCCTGGAGAGGGTAAGGATATACTTTCGCTTAGTGTCTGTGTCTTGAACATTGTCAGTCAGCTCTGCATGGCTTAAGTTTCATTTAGGCAGCTGATGTTTAAATGATGTCAAAACAAACTATCACAAACTAAAGGAAACATTCCTTAAAGTTTAGGATGATGTTGCTGAAATCCACGCTCCCCTTACACTTGAGCTGAAACCTTCCTTTTTGTTTTGGTTTTTGGTTTTTTGTTTGGGGTTTTGTTTTTTTTTTTTTTACAATGAATTAGTATGCTGAATGGTAGCAGATGCTGTTAAAACATTTATGGTCTTCTGTTATACTAAAAATGGCTTTACTGTTTAAATCAGTAATTTAAACTAGTGAAACAGATTTACATGTTGCTTGGATGCAAATCCTTATAATTGGACTAGTAAAAAATAGCACTGTTGCTGAACTGTGTGACTAAACTATCTCTGTGAGCTTGTTAATTGGGTTGTACTGGGGCAGTTCTTTGGGAAAAAGAAGCTGACAGGAAAAAAAAGAAGCAATTAGCTTTCTTCATAGGTTGCTGGTCTGTAATGCTTCAGTACACAAATCTGTTCAGCACTGTAGCATTTTATCAGAACTCTTAGGTGTTGTGGTTGAGCCCTAACCCTTTGCCCAAAAGTGGATTAAATGGCACGTGACTTCATATTCTCTTCCAAGATCACATGGAACAGAACTGTGGGGTTTATGTCTGTTGGCCTTAGGATGTTGTATTTTGTCTGAACTAGGCCTATTCCTTATGTTTTGAAGCATGAATTTAATATGCTGCTTTTGTCTTAACGATGCCAGAATCACACAGCAAAATTCAAGATTGAAATTCTTTGGTGCTTCCAGAGTTCCAGAATCTTTCATCTGGTAACAAGCTATATTGCAGCATAAATCAGATCTAAACTGCCTAGACACTGAAACACTGAAACCTTGGACGTCAATAGCACCTCTTCTTCCTTTGCTCAAGAGGTGGCAATGGAGTCACAAGATGTTGCCTCTTAGATACTGAAACTATCTAAGCTGGGGAAAAATCAATTTAGAAATCAGTTTATAGTTGGACTGTTTCGCATTGTCAGATTCTGCTCTGGCAGTGTTCTTGCCAGGGAGAGCAGCTGCTGACATGAAACAGTTGGTTTGACTTAAAATTGTGACATTTCAGAAGGTTGTTTGAAAGGCAAAGCACAGTAAAACAGCATCAGTTTTGAGTAAATTCAGATGTTAAAAGGTTAAAACAATTTTAATGTAATTTCACACTTGTGATTGTAGTATAATGGTTTAACTTGATGGATGGTGGCAATTTTGGGCATGTCCAGTTCAATTCTCCAAGAGAAGACTGGCCTGTAGTTGGTGTGTGGGTATTTCTGGTTTCTTACTTGTGTGTGTTTGGGTGTTTTAAAATGGTACTGGTAGAAGGAAACAGCCCCATTATAGTGCACTTCATATCATGCTTTTTCACTAGTTCAAGGTGCTGCAAGTGGAATTTGAACAGTTTCTGGCAGATAGTTGTATTTCTTGTTTTCTGTTAGACAGAGGAATGTTCCAACACTGAGCTTGAATTAACCCCCATCCTCAGTGACTTATTGTCTGCCTACCTCGTGTAAAAGGTGAGATTTATGCCAGAACCTGCCCTGTGTTCTTCAGCAAATGTCACTTTTGTGACTAATCTGGTAGCTTCCTGGAATGTACTCGGAAACCTGTTCAAGACCCTTTTGAGGTGACTTAGACATAAGTATTGTTTAACTTCCAATTCTCAGAGCTGTTGATTATTGCATACAGAACTCCTTGCATTTTTACCTTCTGCCCACTTTGAGTGTTACCTTGCTACTGTAATTACAGTTTCGGAGCACTTGTCAAGGCCTGCTTACTTAGGGCAGAAACCAGAATGTTGTTCTGATGCTGCAGCTCAGTTGTTAAGAGTTTAGTATGCCTCACGTGTCAGGTAACACCCTGCAAGATTGGAGACAGTTGTTCTCTTAACTGTTTTGATTTTATTTATATTTGTAGTTGAGGATATGAAGGATACTGATGAAAGAAGGCATTCCATCTCCATGTACATCTGTTCCCCTAAACTTGTGCAATGCATGGATACTATGATATTGCCTATATGCTGGGTTATACAGAACTGGCAGTCTCTAAAAGCCTGTTGGCTTTTTTCTCTTGCTGCAGGCAGATCCACGGTTTGTGTGGAATGGGCATCTTCTTAGAGAATTTGCTGCTCAACCTGAGGTAACCATGTTGTAGTGATTGTATTAATAGAGAATGAATATGCCTTTAAGCATGCAAGTTTCCTGTAATTCTGCCTCTTATTTCACACAGCCAGAATCTAGTATAACATGACTGCTCATCTTCTAGTTTAGCAGAGTGACAGTCTTCTGCTTTCAAACTTCCAACTTTATGTCAGTGTCCTCAGTACTACATGTAGGAAAGATGACTCTTGGAAATGTCTGCAGTTGAAGATGCTGTGCTGGCACCATACTCATCTAAACCAAAGGGGAAGTTACACTGCGCAGCATATGCTTTTCAAGCTTTTTCAAGTTTGACTACTTATTTGTTAATAACCTGTACTTAGGTACAGGCAAGGTTCAGCCCATAATTTTTTTTTCTAAGACTGCCTAGCATCTTTCTCTGAATGTAGTTTAAATTCCATTTGCCTACTGACTAGGTCATAAAGCTGGTATTAAACCTGACAGTTTAGAATCTGTAATTTTATGTCAAATGAAGACTAAGTGCAGTGTAACCTTTCAATTCACTTAGTCCAGCAAAAACAAGGGCATGACCATGAACCACAACTGTAGTACCTCAATGGCCAGACTGATCTAAGCTGCTTCCTACTACACGTGGCTGTCAGTCAGGGCCGTGAGGATGGCCAGGGGCTGGAGCACCTCCAGTATCGAGGCAGGCTGAGAACATTGGGGCTGTTCAGCCTGGAGAAGAGAAGCTGCGTGGAGACCTCAGAGCAGCTTCCAGTGTCTGAAGGGGGCTACAAGGCTGCTGGAGAGGGACTCTTCATCAGGGACTGTAGTGATAGGACAAGGGGTAATGGCTTCAAACTTCAAAAGGGGAAGGTTAGATCTAAGGCAGAAGTTGTTCCCTGTGAGGGTGCTGAGGCGCTGGCACAGGGTGCCCAGAGAAGCCGTGGCTGCCCCATCCCTGGCAGTGTTCAGGGCCAGGTTGGACGGAGCTTGGCTGTCATGGTCTAGTGTGAGATGTCCTTGCCCATGGCAGGGGGTTGGAACTGGATGATCTTCAAGTCCTTTCCAATCCAAACCACTCTATGATTCTGTGAAAACACGTATCCTTCAGTTGTGTGTTGAACTGCTCAAATTGTCTGCACTACAGCAACCTTTTCTCTCTACCAGTACTTCACATTTATTGAGCTGAATGACGCACTGCTTCTATTTCAGTCTCGGTAACCTGTGGAGATGTGCTCTTACATTGATAGCACTGTTCCAAAAGGCTGGATTGTGCAGTGCTTCTGGAATGTGAAGATAGGAATTGCCAAAGGGCTGTTGTGCATATTTTGGAGGCATGTGACTGGGTATACTGTTTGAATAGTGCTATGCAAACCAAGCTTGGGAAATGAGAGAGAAGCTGTGGTGGGAAGAGCAAAGAAAGCCATGTGTCGCTGGTTTGTGAAAACAGATGCAGGAGGCAAAACACACAAGCAGAGAAGGGAGGTAACTGATATGTGAGGGGAAGCATGACCTAATACTGACTACAGGTGGCTTCCTCTAGCAACAGTTTCAGGTAATGAGTTGTGGCATTTCCGACTTCCACTATTAGAAAATCTTAACTTTAAATTTTTTTGAAAGACCAAGTTACTCAGGAGTGGCAAGATGGGAAAAACACGGGATCAAGCATTTCAAATGTTAATCACATAGAAGTATTCCTGTGTTGTTGACTATCTCTGCTTACATCCCACTGTGGAGGTACAGCAAATACCATATCATATGGTATTCAGTTTGTACTGCTTTCTATCTATCATGTTTGTAGCGCAGTGAATGCTGTGTATAGAAGGACAAAAGCAGCTTGGGGTTTCTTGTCAAGGTTTTGTAATTAGGATTAGGCTCTCACTTTTTCCCTATTGCTAATAAGGATTACTTATATTGCTGTCTTCCTCGAATGTGTCTTTCTTGGAAAGAATCACTGCACCCGAAACAAAAATTAAAGTACATAAATTACATCAAACTATCACAAAACTCCTAGACAAAGTCACTTATCTTTTTTTTTTGGCTGCTAGTGGTTAGTATTTTTAACGTGTATTATGTGTATTTCAGATCCATAGGTTTGCTATGCCAGTGATGCACGGATGTATCCTTTTATGTTGTAAAGCTGACTATGGAAGTCTAACAGCAAAGGGGTTGCTGATGAGGCTGCTCTGTTGGCTATGTTAGCAACTATAACATAGAACACATAGAGGTACAAGGTGTAATAGCCCAAGGTATTCACTGTTCTAAAAGCCTTTTTGAAGTGATCCTGTTTTGTTAAAAACAATAGGAACAAGAAACTGTTCAGATAGCTTAAAATTATGGATGAGATGGATATAGCACTGAACAGAACCTCAGGAGTCAGTCCAGTCAATTATATACATATGACAGCCTGTCTTTTTGTGATGAGCATACTGATCCCAACGCTCTCAAGTTTAATGTTCAACTGTTACTGGTGTGAGAGATGTTTACAGATTTCTTTGAATGTGGTCACTTGGTTCCTTGATGTTTCCTACCTCTTGATATATAAAAATACCCTAATGAACTGTTAAGGGTTTCCTTAATGTTCTTCAATAGTTATCACTATGCACTCTTGTTCTATTAATGGCAAGTGTTTTGACTGGCTGCTGATTTCCAGAAGGAGCTGTTTCAGGGCTGGTGTACGCTACTATGTAAGAGGTAAAGTAGCAAATGTATTTCTTCTTAAAATCATGCAAATTCCAGCTATATGTGGCTCACCTTTTAAAAGTAATTGTTGTATAAAAGCTTGCACAAAAAATGCTTATAATGGCTTGTCTCAAGAGGTACTTGCTCCAAAGAAAATAGTAGGAACCTGTATGATATGAAGCATGTTCTGGTATCTTATTAACACTGATTCTAGAGATAACTGCAGAAGCTTTGTAGGGCTTTTTTAACACTTTACGGGGCGGGGAGGGGGGAGGGAGTTAAATGCAAGTGTGTAACAGCCATTTTGGCCTAGCAGTGAATTCAGTAAGAGCATTATTGATGCTGGTAAGGGAGCCTGGAATAGTGGTGTGTTCTCTAATTGTTTCAAGGTAAAAAGTGAACAAGGAAATAGATTTCAGTTACCTTTCTTCTTAGTCCCAACATACATGCTTTTGAAGAAATTGGTTGGTTTCTGCAGTGCCATTGCTATTAAATTATGAATATTTCTGTGTCAAAGCACTTGTATCTTATTTTGTATTAAATGGCTCAATTTCTATGGCTAGAAATAGCTAAATGTGTTAAGCACATCTATGCTTCTTCAAGTTAAGTTTGGTACAGGTGCCAGAGGTGTTTAATTTACCATCTTCAGGCAGCTCTGTGATATTTTCATGCTTTCTGTGAGCACTTAGGAAGCGTAGGAAGCCTTTTGCTGGTATACTGTCACTGTTCTGCAGCCAGACTTGCTTAATAAGGTCTTTTTCCTACATAGGTATTGATTCAGAAGGGCATGCTGCTAACTTCATTGAAACAGAACAAATTGTGCATTACAAGGGCAGCAAGGCATCGTTTGTTCAGGTAAAGTCAGTGTAAGGAGCTGCTCACTGGTTTAAGATACAGAGATTGCTCTATGTTTCTAAATATAAATTGTATACAAGATGTGCATGCATGTCTGCTTCATCTTCAAATGGCAAGTGAGTTTGTAAGTTTTGGGTTTGTTTGGTTTGGTTTTTTTTTTTATTGTTTTAAACTATCTTCCATTCTTTTGCAGACCCGTGGATCAATTCCCTTTTTCTGGTCTCAAAGACCAAACCTCAAGTACAAACCAAAGCCACAGATCAGCAAGTCAGTAAATCATGTATGTGAGTGTTTGTTGTGTTTTGGGGTTTAAAAATATTTCCAGGCTTATGTTCGTGTGATAAGGCAACAAACTGTAACCAGAAGAATAAAAATGAGCAATCCTGGATTGAGCCTTAGTTTTAAAAAGAAGTAGCAAGAAGCCTTGTGCTCAAGATGAGTTCAGAGACTGAAAAAAGCTGAAACATCAATGGGGATAGTTTCTCTTTGGTTCTTGTTTGCAGCAGTTCTAGTAGCTGCACAATATGTTATTTGTGGCATATTTATTAAGGAGAGCTGAATGGACTGGGGGGATGAAAGTAGACATGTATTAACACAATAGAGAATATCAAACACTTCTTAGCTACTACCTCTGTGGTAGCATCAAAAAGATGATAATAGAGATTTCTTGTAAATCAGAGCTCTTAAATGTGTTGACAGATGTATGCTACTTTTCCTTTCTCTTCTAGATGGATGGCTTCCAAAGACATTTTGACTCACAAATAATTAGCTATGGAAAGCAAATGATTGTCAACTTGGTATGCTTTCACTTGTTCTTCCTGAAAAAGCTGATGTTCTTTTAAGCAGGCTTTTGAGTAATACTTTCTTTTTCCTTTTTTCTTCCTTTTTTTTTTTTTTTTTTTTTTTCCTTCCAGGTTAACCAAAAAGGTTCAGAAAAGCCTCTTGAGCAAACATTTGCCAAAATGGTAGCCAACATGGCAAATGGAATGGTCAGGTATGTGTGAAATGAAAGGATACATTCTGTGTTACAAGCTGACCAGTTCTTTGGGGGCCTTTACCAACTGCCTGATATGTTTGAGTTTTATTTTCATAAGTTAGGTTGCAGATAAGCAATGCCCCTACCTCAGAGCTCACATTCTAAGCAGAAGTGAGACTGTGAAGCGAATATGGAGCAAAGAGAAGAGTCAAACAGAATAAAGAGGAGCTCAGAGGCAGCGGTAATGCCAGTATTGGAGTAATAGTGTGGTATGAGATCTGTGAAGATCTGCATTTTAGGATAAAGAAATCAGGCCCTGCAGAAATAGCTTCTGTCTAAAGGGCTTGATTGCATTGCTACTTAGTAAGGGGGTGCTGAGTGTGAGCAAACTGATATTGAGATAAAAGAGGAAACAGTAAGGGGAACATGTAATTTAAATGTCAACCTCAGTGTGACAATAGGACAAGAGAGTGGAGAATGCACTTTAATCACAAAAGAAAATCCTTATCTTTGTGGGAATCTTGAGTGCAGTACAGTCCTACAACCTGCCTGTGCTTGCTTTCACTAACTTCTAGAGGGAGGGTAGCATCCAGCTCCCTCAGATACTTACCTCTACCTTTTCCTTGAAATGGCTGTATAGGATTATTGTCACTCATGTACATTAAAGGACAAAATTCTACTTGTGAGCAAAAAGGCAACTTGTTTTAAGAAGGTTTCACTTCTGTCTAAGCATTACTAAGGAATCGTAATCAAGATGCCCTGATAAATCCTGATTTACTTGAATTTTTCCCAAGCTTTTTTCTGCTTGTATGATGCCCTGCTGCTGCCTTCACCAGGGTAGTTAGACTGTCTTATTTCTGTATGCCTCTTTTACTGCCCTCAGGGGTGTGTTTGTGTGTTGTTGGAATGTGGGTGTGGATTTTTCTTCTGGTTTTATTAAAAAAGACCACTTCTAAGGTGGTCTTTTCTTACTCTCACACCTAGGCTGGTATTGATACCTTAGCTGCACAAAGCTTGTGGAATTCTGTGCACCTTTGCTATAAAGTCACCTGGTGGAAAACAAGATGCAAAATTCTGTCAGGGTGTGTTTTAGTGGTGTTCTGTATATGTTAAAAAGCAGTGTTTAGACAGCACATTTTTCTTAATGCTGCCAAAATCCTTTCTCTTTGTTAATCAGATTTGATAGCATTTACCTGCCAGACTAACACTGTTTTCAGTGTACATATGCCATCTTTCTTTATGCAAATAGTCTTGAAAACTTGGTGAACAGTAATTTTTGGATTGTAAAGACTACAGGGGAGCAATGTAATGTCCTTTAATTCACAGCATATATATGTGTGTGTGTCTGTATGTGAAAGCTGAATCAAGTACCACTCATCTAGAGCACTTCTCACCAGAAATGAGTTGGCTGTTAAAATCTTGTACCAAGTCAGTAGCTGTTTAATTACCTTACGACAGAGTAGGCTAGCTGTTCAAACAGAACCTGTCTCAGGTTTTTAGAGAGCTATCAAGGGAATTATGCTGCATGTCAGCAAAGAATGTCGCATTTCAATACCTGAGTCTCTTTCAAAGTGAACTGAAGTTCCCAATGCCATTGCTTGCAAGAGAGGGAGGGTGAAAGAATTGGAAATGAAATCAGATTCATATCCCTTCTGTAATTACTGGAGGGAAAATACTAGCCAGAAGTAGAATGCATAACTTGGAACTGAATGTGTGCTTCTCCAGACTAGTGGTGTCCTGTAAAGAAATGTAAATGCTGTTACTGTGCACGCTATGGTTGCAGCCTCAGGAGGATTACAGAGCACTGACAAAATCCGGAGACTTGCTGGAAGCTCTCTCTAAAGAAAAACATATCCTCTGTCACTACCTGTTTTATACATCAGCCTTTCCCTGGGAGGGGGTTCTGAGACCTGCACTGCAACACGTACCTAATCTGAAAAGATGCTTCTCTCTCTGAACAGATATGTAGCATTTGACTTCCATAAAGAGTGCAGTCGGATGAGGTGGGATCGACTTCAAATTTTGATGGATCAACTAGCAGAACAGCAAGATGAGTTTAGGTAAGGCTTTGCAGTTCTTTTCTGTACTGTTAAAATGAGACCACTTTTTCATAGTTGCTCTTGTCTTGAGTCAGAGCACAACAAACCATACATGTAATCTTCTGTAAATAAGGTGCTTTCGTATGCATTATTGTTTCCCTTTCTCTGATCTCTTGCTGATACCATGCAAGGTTAGAGACCTGGTGGTGCTTAGATGTAAAGCCCTTTGCTTGTCCCAGTAAAATAGTTCTGGGAGTTGTAGCAGCCCTGCATTGTGACTCAAGAGCTGCATTAGTGCCTTAGGGTAAAAGGTTAGACAAAGAAATGAGCATGCATACAACAAGCTATTAAACAAAAGTAGTCTCCTTAAGTGATTTTTTTTTTTCAACCAATAGTAATTCCATGTGTTGTTGAATGCAAACTGTACTGCTACTGGGTGTCCAACACTTAGAGCAGGTGCCTGTGGAAGCAGTACTCTCTTTGGTAGTGTTTTCTCTAACACGCGTTGTGGCACCAAACCTTGACCCTGGTACTGACTAACATAAGTAACACACAAGGAAACAAATTCTCATTTTGTTGAGTCATAAAACTAAACTGATTGTCTAAATCAACTTAAATCTTGTAGTCCCACAAGTGCGTTTTAAGCTCTTGGTCTTTGCTACTTGTAGACATGCAGATTGCTAGGGAAACTGTTTCCTTTGTTCTGCTTTTTTGATTGCTTCCTTCCTGTTCCTAAAATCTCGTGCCTAAAGCACAAAGTAGATCAGCTAAAACATTATAAAACTAGCAGTAGTATATTCTATCCAAAAAAACCCAAGTGAGCTGTAGACTAGAGCAGGAGTTTCATGAATTAAGTCTCTCGCCTGGAATGAAGGCTCTGGGAATAGTATGAATTAATCAGATGGTAGTGAATATTCTCTGCCCACCACCAAAAAAAATACCCGAAAAATACACCAAGAGCTGAAGAATAAATTGCCTTTGAGCACTTTGAATAAGGAGAAATAAGCATGTAGGTTTCTCATACTGCAAGGATCCTTTACTCTTAGAATGAATACTGAATCCCATAAAGCCATGTGTCTCTAAAACAAGAATCAAAAGTGAAGATTCTTCCTCAGGATTAGGCTGGCTCTGCCATGCCTTGTTCTGTTTCATCTAGGGTGATTGTTACTTAAATAGGAACAGAAAAGTCTGAGTTCTAATATTCTTAGGAAATAGTTGTTCAACCCTGAGGGAGGTAAACAGTTCAATGGAGGTAAACAACTCTCTTCTGCAGGTTAAATCCAGCTGGGAAAGACCTGTCAGAAGGAGAACTGGTTTGCTGGGCTTGAGGGGGTGAGGGTGTGTTAAATTTTTTAAGAACAATTATAGAAGATGCAGCACTTAAACTATTTTATTAACCAGAAGTGTCTACTCTTCAACTGTACTGATTATCCTAATATCAGTTCTAGGCAAAGCTTGGTGGGAGAAGGGGAAAATGAGGATTTCGCAGGTGTTAGTTTCCTTTAATCATATACCAATGTAAAACATGGTTTAACAAAACTAGTTCTTCAGGAAAGATGAAAATGGGTCTTGTTAACACAAAGTTGATCAAAGTAAACATGCAGGCTTCTAAGGCTCTTGATTTTTTTTTTAGTTCTCCATGGCTCTAAAACTTTAGAATCTTAAAATGCTGTACAGTAACAGTGAATCATGTGCTCGTCCACATTCAGAGTCCATGACTACATAATGGCGTAACTTAATCTACAGAATATGATCTGTAAATATTTAGGCAACTGGAAGTTTCATGCTGTGGCAGAAGGGCAGGTATAGTTCTGTCCTGTTCACACATCCAGCCGATAACTTGATCGGCATATTTGTTTTACCAGCTCAGTTATCTAAATACTTGCATGCACTTCAGTCTTCAATCCAAAGACACCTAGTTTAGTTGATTAAGAAGATTGAGGTAATGATTAGCATATGCAGTTGCAAGAGGGAACATCTGGTTCCCCCAGATGTTCTCATAATGGAGAGAATGACAGTAGCAGGTTTTCAAACTTAAACCTTAAAGATCTGAATACCTTCCTGGAAGAAGTATGCCTGACAGTTTACATGACTCTTCTGTGCAGGGGTGACTGGATTGAACCAGGTGACTGGGTAGATACAGATCTGGTTACTTCTGTTGTTACACTCTGTTAACGATCCCGCGATCTGGTAACTGAACAAATAAAATGTAAGGCTCTGATTTTTGCACCTCAATCTGCTTTTCCCAGTGACATAACTCAATATTGCTGGTGGGCTGTCTAGATTAGAAGAGTGCACTTAGAAGGGCAAGAGTGCTCTGAGATTACAAGATGCTCATATATCGATGCTAGTTTCCAGTGTTGGAGGGGAAGAATTCAAGGTGACCTCAAAGTTCAAAGCAACATCTAAGAACTCTGTGTGTGCTCAAGACGACTGTGTTTTGATTGCTAGAATATTCACTTCTGAAGAGATGTTGTTTCTATGGATTATTATCTATAAATACTTAAGTGGATTGTATGTGTTAGTTATTTCCTAGTCGATTCCGATGGTGCAGGAAGGAATATTCCGCAGTAACTGCATGGACTGCCTTGATCGGACCAATGTGATTCAGAGCTTGTTGGCACGCCGATCCCTTCAAGCCCAGCTTCAGGTAAATATTTTGTTCTTGTTTAACACGCAGGAAGAGGAGAGAGGCTTTCTGTTTGGAACTGAAATACAATTTTAACACTGCAATAAGAGCTTGCATATTTGAGTTACTGTACTAATGAAACGCATTAGCCAGACTCTGGTTTGGTAAATCCAGCTTTTTCTGAAAGCAAATGCTAATTTTTTTCTAGTGAACTCCTAGTAAGCCTCAATATGCTCTTTGTTTTAGAGGCTTGGTATTCTGCATGTTGGACAGAGAATTGAAGAGCAGGCAGACTTTGAGAAAATCTACAAAAATGGTAGGCTGTTTATAGAGTTCAAACAATTGCACTTTTTTTTTGGTTGGTTTTTTTTTTCCTTTTCCCACAACCAGAGTATATAACTTCCTTAATCTTTCTTAATGTTTTCCTATTCACAGCATGGGCTGACAATGCTAATGCTTGTGCCAAACAATATGCTGGAACTGGTGCCTTAAAGACAGACTACACAAGGCAAGTCAGCTTTTCTTGTAAAGGCCTTCTGGGTTTGTTTTGGCATGTTTGGGATTTTCTTTAAGCCTTCATATCCGAGAAGGGGCTTAGGCATTAACAAGTCTTGCAATGGTTCAACTGGTAAAATGTCAGATTAAAGTCTACAGAACACTATTCTTCACTGCATTCATATGAAAGGAAAAAGAGCTATCTGGAAATAAACCCAAGAAAATGTGCTTTTTTCAAGGCACACTTACATTGTTGGATGGAGAGAAGTGTAACTTTCAAACTTAGTTACAAGTATTGTGTGGTAATAATGCAGAGGCAGTACTAGATGAATACCTGCATGTAAAGACATTTATTAAACATAAACCCATGAAAGAACTGTAAATCTGAAATTATCTTCCTGAATTCATAAACCCATTTGAAATATTTCTGCAAAACTCCTTTTTGCAGAACTGGTAAGAGAACTCAATGGGGCTTAATAATGGATGGATGGAACTCATTAATACGTTACTACAAGAACAACTTCTCTGATGGATTTAGACAGGTAAGTTAGGCTTTTAACTGTGGAGAAATGCAACAACATTGTCGTGCATTTTAACTCTTGCTCTCCCTTCCTCTTCCAGGACGCAATTGATCTTTTTCTTGGGAATTATTCAGTGGATGAAGTAGAACCTGCAAGTCCTCTGCATGTCCAGAAAGATTGGAAGTTCTTAGCTGTGAGTATGCAGACTTTATTCATGACTGGAGAAACACATACAACCTTTTAGTCACTTGCTTCATGTGACTAAGTAGAACTTGTCTATTGAGTAATGAAGTGTCCTCATAATCTGGTTATGTTTCTATGATACCTGCTTATAGGACTAAACCCAGCCTGTTCCCTTGACAGAAAATGGAGTGTCTTGAGGTATTGAAAAAACTGCTGCTTGCTGTTTTAAAAAAATTTGCTTCATCAAGTGGAGAGGGAGAAACTCTGTCACTATCAGTGCCTTTCTCCTTCTGCAGAAGCAGCTTGTGAAGATCTCTTCTCATTCTTCATGCAGAAGCATAGACTGTAACACAAAACCCCCACTTTTTTCTTCCTTTTCTTCACCCTTCTATTCCACGAAACGGGATTTGGGGACATTCTGGGTTTAACTAGTGGCTGGTGTACTTTACTTTTTTTAAAACACAACCCTTAATCTTTCTTTTAATAGATAGAAGATGTATTTTAAGAATTAACCTAGTTAATTCAACACACTCTTCCAAACATTGGAGCTCTCCAAAATTTTTTGTATCTGACAGCAGGTGAATCGGGAATTAAAGCAACTTCATTGCAAAGCAAGTAAATAGTTTTGTAGTACAGCCCATCTTAAAGGAAATCAAGGCATATATGTACTGCTATATTAAATGATTATTCTTTTTCTCTTTCCCCAGTTGCCTATTATTATGGTGGTTGCTTTCTCCATGTGCATTATTTGTTTGCTAATGGCTGGTAAGTCACTATTTTTAATTGCACAGAATTAGCTTGCTTGTATGCTGACTTTCTGTCAAAGGTTACCAGAAACTATTCAGGATAAAATTGCTTCTCTGCCATACTAAAAGGTGTTTGAGCATGACCCTGAAGATTGAGAGCTAGCACTGTATCATTAATGTGGAAAAACCTGGGCTACTATAGAAAACAGTGTTAAAACTTTTGTCGAAGTCATTTAAGGGGCTGTTAGTTGGCCCCAATTTAGCTGCACCCACGAAGACATCTAGTAGTATTACAACTGGATGAATTCCCAGAAGAATACCTAATCTGGGGCAGAAAGACAATTCAGAAAAGTCAGATACAGGCATAAGCCTGTTCTGAGGTATGTGTCTCTAAGTCTGTGTTGGGAGCTGTGAAGATTTGTGTTCTTTTGCCTTGAATTTTTTAGCATCAGTGCTAATAGAGTACTTGGCCTCCAGCTTCTGTAGCTGGCTGATCAAAGTGTTCTAAAAACTGTGTGGCAAACACAGCTTTCCTGGGTAAGGAAATAGAAAAAGAAAAGACTATGAAGGACTTCTGACTTCATCTGACTGCAGCTCTCTGAGGGAGGGCTTGAAATATTGTGTTTTTGTACTAAAAAGCCTCTCTCTAGTAACTGGAGATAATGAACTAAAATTATTATCTGACTGTTTAACAGGTGATACATGGACTGAGACAATGGCCTATGTGTTTTTCTGGGGAAGTGCAAGCTCTGGAACTTTTGCTATCATCCTTTACAACGGCAAGGATTTTGTAGATGCACCCAAGCTGGTCCAGAAAGAGAAGATGGACTGAATTTGTGTGTGTGGAAAGCGGCTTGGTAGTGAGGATTCCTCAAGCCACACTTGGAGTCTCTACTGACCTGCTTTCCACACCGAATAGCGATCTTTTTAGCATTGGCAGTGTTGGGGGGCAGGGAAACAAAATAGTGTCCTCTGGTGGTGGTAGCAGCTTTCAACTGAGACTTGACTCAACAGTCTTTAGTTGCAATGGTCTTTGGAATATTGCATTGGTGGAGTGGGCTCCACTCTTGCTGAGTCAGTGCAAAGATGAAAATCAGCTTTTTGGTGTCTGGAATGTTTCAGGGCATAAGTGTACTGCTTAAGCTCATAGTCTACCTGGGCTGTTTCAGCTGAATACTTGGTTTCTGGCTTGACAGGTGAGAGCTCTGATGCTGTTTGTGTCAGTAGCCAGATGTTGAAGCATTAATAATGGAGCTTATTATTACAGCTTCACACCAATAAAATGTCTTGTTCCAAGACTTACGCTGGATTACATTTGTTGTGATAAAAGTCCACGTTAAGGAGTCCTTCGTGCATATTTGTGTGTGGATTCTTTTCACTAAATAGATAAGGTATTTTGAATCCTAATGTTCTTCTAAAATGAGCTTTTGTCCTGTCTTGTTAATCTAGAACTGATGCAATATTCTACTCATCATTGTTGGGCAAAAGGGCAGTGTAACTGGATGTTCCTGAAGTTGCAAATGTCTTGCACTGTTTCAATACTACGGTCTCCAGATGATTCCTTAGTGTAGCGAGTTAAAATACAGAATTTTTCTTTCTAAAGATGTAAATGAAATCAAAGAATGTAAAAATCTTTTGCAGTGTTTCTTGAACCTTCCTTATGCTAAAGGTCCAAAGTATTCCATTACTTTAAGAATGGGTCGCAATGTGAAAGGTGAACTTCATATTGTTTTGCTTGTCAGCTGCTTCTATTCTTGGTTACGTTGAAATTTATGAAAGAAGGAATAACAACCGAGGAGGAAACATTTAGTCTAAACTCTGTGTTTGCACTTGGGAGCAGCAGCTTGCTTTTCATGCATGATATTGTAACATACTCTTTAAAAGACAAAAAAAAGAAGGAAAAAAAAAAAAGCTACAGAATAATTTGTGCTGGTTAATAATAAATGTGTGTCTTTAAACTTAGTGCTTCCAAGCTGTATAAAAAAAATAAGTAATCCTAATTGAGGACCAATTTTAAACTATTTTGTCACTTATTTTATATGGTTTGTTCAAAACCAGCCATTGAACTTGCTTAAGGTGCTGTGCTTTGTTTAATAGTTCCTGTAAGTACAGCTGTATATTCAGATTGTGAGTATAACATTTAAAATGGGGGCAAGGGAGGAACATGTAGAATACTGGGACGAGCACACTTGAGGCTAGAACACAAAACACTGGACTCTGTATGTTTCCTTGAGTTACAACTGAAAATATGTACAGATTTTTGCAACTGTTAACTGTTCATTTTAACCCTGAATGTTTCCGGAGGCCTCTCCAGGGTTTGTGTAAACATAACCTGTTCATAAGCACTAGTACTTGCAAAGTATCTGTTTGCTTCTAGATGCTGTAATGGAAATACCAGTTGGCAGTTAACTGGAAAACCCTCTAACTTAAAAGTTTTCAAAGGTGAGCTCCATTATGGGCTGGAAGTACAAGAACACCACAGACTGTATCTGAAAGTCACAGTTTTGATGGCTCTCTGGCACGTGGCACGGTTGTCTTGCAGTCTAGAACTAAATCCTTGCATCTTTGGTGAAGCATTTGTTGCAGCAAAGACCAAACTTGAATCTCTAGTATAAAAGGTTTATAAGATGTAGAGTAACGTAGGTTTCAGAACTTGGAAGGCACCTGCATTTCAGTACTTTGCAAAGAGTCTGTGTTCCTAAAATCACAAATGGTGTTCTCATAAATGACAATAAAATGTTCAACTTTTCTAGATAGCTGGTCCATGGTGTGTGATGTGCTTTGGAGTGGCTGTTCTCAAATTGATCCTTAGGACACTTTGGTTCCTTCTCTGCTCTGCATGTGCAGACCTTGCTGTTCCGTGCTTCAGTATTGGTGCCTGTGCCCCAGTGTGGGTGTTGGGTTCGCATTCCAGTCTTCATTATCACAGCTGCTGTGGCTGGACTTCTCTGATGTTTAGTCCCAAGTGTCACCCCTGCTCTTTGCTTCTCCCCTCACAAGACAACCGCAGGGTTTTCACTGGCTGCAGCCATAGCTGCTGGGGGAGAAAATGAAAGTTGTCATCAATCTTTCTCTCCCCAGCCGCAGGCACACATCAGTTCTCTAAAGTTTGGGGTGGGTTCCACTGTGGTGGTGTTCTGTTACAGGCTCAGACATGAAAGGTGATTGCCCAAACACCGAGGTTCTGAGCTGGGCCTTCCTGAATTAGTGACAAAAGAGCATTCAAAAGAGCTTTGTGTGTATGTTTTAGACTGATCAGGTTTCATCCTGTGCCTAAACTCTCACACGTATCAAAATCACTAGTAATTTTTTAAAAGTACATTGGGTACAAACGCTAAAGTCTTGGGGCTGCGTTTATAATTAAGTATTTTCCTCTAAACTGTTTGTTTTTATCGGGTAAAGCAAGAATAGCTGTGACCGCCTAGAAAAACTTGACCTTCCCCCTGCGCCCGGGGCCTCCCGGCCGCTAGGGGGCGCTGGCGCACATCCGGCGGCGCGCGC